GTGACCGGCCGCCATCTTCAGTGAGGGCACGGCGGGTCGGCGACGCCGCCATCTTCAGTGAGGGCACGGCCGCCCTTTCCCTGGGGGTCTCCCCTGCCCCGGGGTGTCCCCTGCCCCCGGGGTGTCCCCTGTCCCCGGGTGTCCCCTGCCCTGAGGTGTCCCCTGTCCCCAGGGTGTCCCCTGCCCCCGGGGTGTCCCCTGTCTCAAGGTGTCCCCTGCCCCCAGGGGTCTCCCCTGCCCCGAGGTGTCCTCTGTCCTGGGGTGTCTCCTGTCCCCGGGGTGTCCCCTGCCGCCATCCCAGGATGCCCCCCCAGCACCCCGGGGGTCCCTGGTTCCCCCCGTCCCCAGCACGGGGGTCCTCCCGCCCTGGGCACCGGGGTGCCCCTGTCCCCGCGGTGTCCCCCGGGATGGCCCCGGGCCTTGCCGCGGGCAGAGCGGGCACTGCCTGGGGTACGGGCAGCCCCGCGGGCAGGCGGGAGCAGGCGCAGGCAGCGGCGCAGGCAGGCTGCCGTGCACGGGCACATGCAGGCACATGCAGGTATGCAAGCTCGCAGGCACATGCACGCACGGCCACATGCACGCACGCACACGCGCGCGCGACACGGACTCGCCCACGCGTGCACGCACCCCACGGAGGCGCCCACGCGGCTGCCGCACAGGTCGCTCTTTATTTCTCACTGCTAGAAAATCAGGAAAGGCCCCGGCCAGGCGCAGCCGCCGTCCCCACTGCCGACCCCATGCGTGCGCCGCGGCGGTGCCCCGCGTGCCGGGGTCAGGTGTGCTGTGGCGGTGCCCCGCGTGCCGGAGCCGAGGATGCTGCAGTGGTGCCTACCGTGCCAGGGTCGGTGTCAGGGGGGCCACCGTGGTGGCACCTCGCGTGCCGGGGCTGGGATCGAGCGTGCCGTGGCAGTGCCCCACATGCCAGGGTTGGGGTGCCATGGCGGCACCTCGCGTGCCAGGGCTGGGGTCAAGCGTGCCATGGCGGTGCCCCACGTGCCAGGGTTGGGGTGCCATAGTGGCGTCTCACGTGCCGGGGTTGGGGTGCTGTGGCGGGGCCTCATGTGTCGAGGCTGGGGTCAAGCGTGCCATGGCGGGGCCCCACGTGCCGGGGTTGGGGTGCTGTGGCGGGGCCTCATGTGTCGAGGCTGGGGTCAAGCGTGCCATGGCGGGGCCCCACGTGCCGGGGTTGGGGTGCTGTGGCGGGGCCTCATGTGTCGAGGCTGGGGTCAAGCGTGCCATGGCGGGGCCCCACGTGCCGGGGTTGGGGTGCTGTGGCGGGGCCTCATGTGTCGAGGCTGGGGTCAAGCGTGCCATGGCGGGGCCCCACGTGCCGGGGTTGGGGTGCTGTGGCGGGGCCTCATGTGTCGAGGCTGGGGTCAAGCGTGCCATGGCGGGGCCCCACGTGCCGGGGTTGGGGTGCTGTGGCGGGGCCTCATGTGTCGAGGCTGGGGTCAAGCGTGCCATGGCGGGGCCCCACGTGCCGGGGTTGGGGTGCTGTGGCGGGGCCTCATGTGTCGAGGCTGGGGTCAAGCGTGCCATGGCGGGGCCCCACGTGCCGGGGTTGGGGTGCTGTGGCGGGGCCTCATGTGTCGAGGCTGGGGTCAAGCGTGCCATGGCGGGGCCCCACGTGCCGGGGTTGGGGTGCTGTGGCGGGGCCTCATGTGTCGAGGCTGGGGTCAAGCGTGCCATGGCGGTGCCCCACGCGCCAGGGTTGGGGTGCCATAGTGGTGTCTCACGTGCCGAGGTTGGGGTGCCATGGCAGTGCCTAGTGCGGCGGGGCCGTTGTGCGGCCGGGCAGGTCGCAGCGGTAGTGGAAGATCTGGAAGCAGAGGAGGCTGCCGAGCAGCGAGGGGCTGAAGGCACCCACCTTCCTGAAGCCCTGGCCCTCGTAGAGCCGCTGCGCCGCCACCTGCACCATGGAGGTGGAGAGGACCACCGCCCCGTACCCCCGCGCCCGGGCGAAGCGCAGCACCTCCCCGCAGAGCGCTTTGGAGATGCCCCGGCCCCGGTAGTCCTTGCTGACCGACATTCGCTTCAGCTCCAGGGCCACCCCTCTCTCTGCCGGGTCCAGCGGCGGGGGCGCGGCCACCCAC